GCTGACATACACTTTGTTCGCAAAATTCAAACTGGTAACATATACAAATTTTTGTGGTTATATTCAAAATGGCCAACTGGTGGCCATTTTGTTTTAATGAATGCGCTTCAAGGCTATATCTCTGACACACCTTGACTGATCATATTCAAACTTTATATATACATCATACATCATATCACATATATGTACATCCAAGCTGGTCAAATGGTGACTCTTTTAATGTTAAAAATGCATCAAAATCAAGCATTTCTGCCATTCCAGATCTTGGTCATCAAACTAGAAACCATAATGTGACCTAACCACATGTCATTTGATTTTTTCAGATCAGATTCAAATTTTGTATTATGTAGGCTATTTCTCTGACATGCATTGACTGTTTGCATTCAGACTTTATTATCACATTATACATCACCTGTATTTACATTTACAATGGTATTTCAAGTTCTGATTCAAAATGATCTTGAGATTTATTTTAGTTTGTTTACTTTTGAACATGACTTGTTTAATTATATTCTTAACATGTCTCAGATGAAATCGTTGTAACCTTTTCACCACGTTGTATCTTTATCTCTGATCAATTTGACGTCAAACGTTTCATGAGATGGGTCGTCATGAGGTTTGAAACTGTATCAGTGTTGATGATAATACGTTGATGAAACCTTGGCATTTGTACAGTGGTTAGTCTGTTAGTCTTGCATCAGGGATTTTCAACTCTCAAAGCTGACTGTTTACTCAGCAGTATGAATCAGAGCACTGTCACTCCCAAACATGGAGTGTTAAGTTTGGTTTGAACACATGCACCTAAACCAAAAAACTTAGGAGAGATAGCAGTGACTTTAATTAATACCCAGAAATTTCACCTGGCAGATAAATATTTTTAAAAAAAACATTGATGAAATTAACTTCATTCGATATTGTTGCTACTGCTTTGTATTCATTTACATATTTCCCAATATGCTCTCATCTCAGAGTCATGTGCATGTACTTTCAAGAAAGTTATATTAATCATTACGTAATACATTTTTTTTCAACTGCTATTCTTAAAATTAATGCATTTTCATAAATTTATTGTTTCAGATACAGCTAGATCAGTAAGAAGACAAATTTACCCAGCTGAGTCTGCTCCAGCTAAAGGGGTACTTTGGCAGTGGATTGGTGATGTCCCAGGCAGTTGGAACACCTATGACTTAGACATATGCTGTATTTTGGAAACAGCATTTGAAAAAAAACAAGAACAAATTAATTTGACGCAAACTGCATGTGGACTTCCATACATCATTGACTTAACAAATATGATTCAGATACGCAATGGTACTGGATTTACCCGTGAGATCAGAAGGATCCAAATGTCGGTGGGATACCCAGTAGCTGATGACAATGATCCCCACTCTACAAGCAATAACAATCCAGATAGGAAACTGAAACATTCTATTTCAGCTCCATGTGGAGTGGGTGATTCCCCTCTCAGTGGCATAAAAAGTAAAATCGGGAGATCCAGTTCTACAAAATTGTCTCCATCTGATAGTAAGCCATCCTTGTCTGATGTGGGATCTGTCAGCTCTATCAGTAGTACTGATATGAATAATGTTACACCATCGACCAGTGGTATCGTTTCACCAAATAGTGATAGTGGCATTGTGGCTTCAGCTTCAAATTCGTCTGTTGGCATGGTAACTGCCTCTCCATTACCATCTTCGTCAGGATCATCTAGTAGTGCTCTGTCTTCGTCATCAGCGATGACAATGTCTGTACCTGTCAGCAGAATGGTCAGGTAAGCACATTGCCTACAATAAGTGAAAGATTCTATCACATTTATGAAACCTGTTTTGAAATTTTTTTACAAGGGAGCTTTTTGTAAAGAAAAAAGGGGAATAAGAT